AGGGGCTGGGAATGTGGCTTAGTGGTAGAGTGCTTGCCTAGCATGCATGAAGCCCTGGGTTCCATTCCTCAGAAAAAAAGCCCGAAGTAGCAGTGTGACTCAAGTGGCAGAGTGCTAGCCTTGAGCAAAAGCAGCTCAGGGACAGTGCTCAGGCCCTGAGTTCAAGCCCCAGGACTGGCAGAAAAACAAACAATAAAAAAAAAACAGTATCCAGAGTAACAGTAGGTCCCCAAACTAGCAGAGAAATGGTGTTTCATGCTGCATTTTGAAATTACATTTATGGCCAGGCACCAGTGGTTCATGCCTGTAATCCTAGCTACTCAGGAGGCTGAGATCTGAGGATCACAGTTCCAAGTCAGCCCAGGAAGAAAAGTCCATGAGACTCTTACCTCCAATAACCACTAGGAAACCAGAAGTGGCACAGTGGCTCAAGTGGTAGAGCGCTCACCTTAAGCTGAAGAGCGCAAGGACTGCACCCAGGCCCAGAGTTCAAGCCCCATGACTGACAAAAAAGAAAGAAAGAAAGAAAGAAATTACATTTATGTCCTCCAAACCACGCTGTGAGGAAGCACTGTTACTCTTCTCTTGGTCACACAGGGTCTCACTCTCACTATATGGCCTAAGCTGGCCTAGAACTCATGATCCTTGTGCTTCAGCTTCCCCTGTGCCAGGATTACAGGAGTGATCTACCACACCAGCAAGGAAGTGCTGTCATTGTCACTATTTTATAGATGAGGACACCAAGGCAGACAGGGGTGGTGACCTGCCTGGGGTCACGCCCTTCCCCCCCATCCCCTCCCCCCCACATTATATAAGGCTGGTTAGGAGCTCTAGACAAAGCAAGGAGGGCCTGGCTTAAGCGTCTCTGAGTGGTCATTGGCTTGTTGTAGAGTTGGAAGGAAAACCTCAGGCATGGACAGCACCCATACACACACAACGACCTCTGCACGATCAGGTGGGAACAGGGTGCACAGACCCTGGGCCCACACCCCCACACCCCAACCCTGCTCCTCAGCAAGGCCGGCACAGGAGGGGGCAGCAGGTACACAGGCTCACCCCAAGGTGCACCCATGACAGGTGAGCTCCCAGAACTTTGGGATAAAACTACGAAGGGCCACGGACAAGGCTGGGTGGGAGGGTGCAAGAGGAGACTCCGCTGGCCTGGGGACAGAAGGGACGGGCGGGCTTGCAGGACAGAAAGAAGAGATGGAGGGGACCGGGCAGTCCCTTCATGTGCAGTCACATGTGCCTTGTTCAGAGGAAGCACAGGAAGAGAAATGAGGTCAGCAGCAGCTGGTTCCGACCCACAATCCACAGACACCCTGATGCTTCATCCCACGTGTGCAGCCTGGGCCCCAAGGTCACCGGGGTCCCTAAGTTCAGTGATCCCCAAGAGCTTACTACAGAGCTAGCTTTTCTTTGGGGTTCCAGGCTGGGGAGAAGGCTGAGAAAAGTCCCTGGTGGAAGGGGGGGGGGGAAGCTGGGGAAGGGCGCAGCCAGGCAGCGCAGGACCCGCAGGTCCCGGAGGGGCCATGCGCGTGGCTTGAGCGTGTGGCTCCTGTCTTCTGTGGCAGGATGACTGGCTCCCCGGGGACCTAGGGGACTTCCCTGGCTGACCTTCCAGTGGGCCAAGCCAGCGGCAGACAATAAACCCTGGCCCCGGATGTGTGGCTGGGGCGGGAAGGGTCCCTCATTTCCCTGCCTGGCCAGCCAGAGCTTGGAAGGGGATGGCTTCCTGCTGGAAGCATCTGGGGCTCAGGAGATGGGACAAACAGCTGCTGGGGACACCCCTGTGACCAAGAGCGTCTGGCCAGGAAGTCAAGCTGGCCAGGAGGTGCAGGTCAGGGGGGTAAGGGAGGGGTGGCTGAGGAACCAAGTGACACACGTGGAGACACACACAGAGATTCCCCATGTCCAGCAGGCCTCCAGGGAGCTTTTATAAAAACAGATCTTTGAGTAAGAGGCTAGGGACAGGAAGAGACACTGGTCTGTCAAGGCCCATGGGAGGAGAGCTACAATAAAGGGTGACTGGGGTTTGAATCCTGCCTCTGCGCGGGTCTTGGTGGGAGTCTCCAACTAAAGCAGTCATGTGAAAGTAGCTTCCCTCTGGCCTGGTGGGGTGATCCCTAAACCACACACTGACCAAGGCCGGGACGCTGTATGTCACATGGCCATGTGGGCATGACCGCTTGGAAGAGATTAGCAGCATGTGGGAAAGGCCCAGGTCCAACATTTCTTCTGCAAGGAGGACCCCCAAGCCAGACTCTGGTCCCATACACAGGGAAACACATTCGTGAAAGCCCCAAAGGGCGGACCTAACTGGTCCCCAAAAGGCTAATGAGTGATTCCTTCAAGACCCAAGAACAAATCCTCAGCTGGGAGCTGGTGGCTCACACTTTGTCACCCTAGCTACTCAAGAGGCTTAGATTTGAGAATCCTGGTTCAAAGCCAACCCAGGCAGGAAAATCATAAGACTATCTCCACCAAAAAGCCAAAAGTAGAGCTGTGGCTCAAAGTGGCAGAGCACCAGTCTTGAGCAAAAGCAGCTCAGGGACAGCACCCAGGCCCTGAGTTCAAGTCCAAAGCCCAGAATGACACGGGGATAGTGACACCATTGCTCCACGAAGGGAAGCAGCAGTGGGTGTGGGGAGGGGATGGCGGAGTGGAGCCCTCCCCCCACTGCCTCAGGAAGGGCCCCAGGCTATGCCCAGCACCCTGGTCCCACACCTGAGCTGATCCATGTCCCACTGCATGCTCTAGGACTTTCTTCACAGCTCCAACTGTACAGAAGGAATAGAACTGGCCAATAAATCGCCAGCTGAGGCCCTGAAGCTGATGGGCACGAGGCAGGCAGCCGAGCCTGGGTCTCCTGAGGCAAAGCCAGTCAGTTCCCTCGGAGCTGTGTCAAGCTGGCACAGGAAGGCGTGGAGCTGGGCAGCCTCCCAGGTTGCCTGACCCTGCCAGGATGGGGGTGGGGTTGCGGCAGAAAAGGGGGAGGTAGGTGGCAGCACCCACAGCGGGCTGGGCCTTAGCCAAGCACTCTTACCTCTGCACCCTCTGGCAGATCTAGGGATGACCAATGCCTTCATGCCCACTTAGTCAGGGGGCCTCGGGCAGCAAGTGTAGACTGTGGGGAGGGGGAGAGGGCGATTCCCAGGCTACAGACTGCTGCCAGTCCCCAGTAGCCTCCCTGCCTCCACTCACCTCCCCTCTGCCTGGATACCCCTCTCACCACAGCCTTTAGAACTTCTTCCAGGGACTCAAACCTGAGTGGGACCAGGCACAGTGTGGGCACCCTCCAGCCCCCATCACCTCTGGGACAGATGTGGCTGGGGTCACTGGCTAGGGGAAGACTTGTGTGCCCTCCCCCCCACCAGCATAATGCCCAACAGTGCTCTCCTCTCTCTCTCTCTCCCTCTCTCTCTCACACACACAGCATCCTGCAGTCAGGAATTTACAGGAGTACCCACACTCTTGGAGAGAAGGTGCAAAGATGCACCCTAACACACATGTGCCCCCCAACTACCCAGCACAGAGGGACAGAGTTCTCAGGGAGCTAGGCAGGAGGGCTGGGGGGCTCTAGCGCTGACAGTGGAGGGAGGAGAGAGACTGTGCAGGGCAGGATTCCAGACCACCGGGACAGGAAGGTCAAAACCCTAGAGGGAGGCCTAAGCAAAGATGGGAAAAGTTGAGAAATCCACCCTGGGAGCGGCAGGTGGGAGCTATTGAGGACCACAGGGAGAGAGCACAGGCTCAATGTTTTTTTAAGAACAGAGAACATCCAACTTCGCTGCACTGGGGTGTATGGGACTCAGGGCCACCCACCAACACTCAACTCCTATAAGTCAGAGAAACTTCCCCTCCCAGATCACACCCTTCCAGGAGGTCAAACAGACGCTCGCTCTCGAGTTCTTGCCCAGGGAGTGGCCCAGGCCTCAGCTGCTTCCAAGAACAGAGGCCATCTGAGAAAAGGACCATAAGGCAGCACACCACCCTACCAGTTTACGCCTTGCCCTTTCCATCCAGAAAGTGGGTTAGTTCCTTCCATTTACAAAGATCAATATAGGCAGGTACAAGGGATATCCCACAGGGCACCAGGCTTTGTTAAACATGATCTGCCCCCGGATTCATGGTGGTTTCCCTCTCTGCTGTCTAGGCCCCAGACCAGGCTCGGTCCAATGTCATAAATGGCAGGGGTAAGTTGGGCCCAGCTGGCTCCTGTCTGTCAGCCTAGCTACTCAGGAGGCTGAGATCTGAGGATCACAATTCAAAGCCAGCCCTGGAAGGAAAAAGTCCCTGAGCCTCTCACCTCCAATTAACCACCAGAAAACCCGGAAGTAGGGCTGTGGCTCTAGGGGCAGAGGGCTAGCCTTGGGCAAAGGAGCTCAGGCATAAACAACAGACAAATACACAAACAAGTCAAATGGCAAGTTACAGAGACTCCCGGGGCAGGTAAAGGACTACGGGGATCGAAATCCAGCACCCTGGCAGTACCGAGCGGGCCACCTTCACTAGGACTTTTAAGACACCTGTCCCCAGGCCAGATTTTTTCACCTTTGGACCCTCTAAACCACGCCCATCTGGAAGCCCCCTTTTTAAAAGACCACACCTCAGCTCCCCCCAAAACCCATTCAATCTCCTCTGCCTTTATTAACCTCGGACCCCGCGGTCTTCCTGACAGTGACCTCTAACCCCAGCTGAGTGCAAACTCTGAAGAAGTCATTCACTCGGAGGCCCCCCTTTTTTCTGGAGCTTCCATCCCATCACCTCGAAGCGCCCCCACTCAGTTGCAAACTTCTCCGCACGGGCCTTCGCCACACCCCCCTTGACCTCTGAACTCCCTCCCCGCGGCTTTGATTCCCCCCCCCTCCCCGCAACGCGCGACCCCACTCTCGGAGAGTGACCTTTGACCCCCGGCCCCGCCCCCCTGGCGCGTAAAACATCGCCCACTTCCACTCCCAGCTCTCCCCCGAAACACCCCGAAAAACCGCCTAGCCTACCGGCTCGGAGCCGTAGTCGCTGGCGGCCTGGCTGCTCGAACCCGAACTCGGCGCCCTCGCACTGCCCTCAGCTCTCTCCAGCCGCCGCCACCACGGACGCTGCCGCCGCCATGTTGAATCTCCAACGAACATCCGGGGCTTTCCTCTCCCCCCCCCAACCCCTCCCACTTCACCGCCCCCCAGTTCCCATAGCAACGGTGCTGGTACGGGCCGTGGGTTGGGCCTACGTGAGGGTGGGGCTAAGGCCTGCTTGTGCATGATCCAGCTTCTGATTGGTGGAGATTGTCCAATCGGTGCGCTTCACACAAAAAATGCTGAGCAGAGATTGGGAAATTTGGAAAAGGTGCGGGAGGCTGACTTCTGGACGCTGCGGATTCTTTAAAGAGGAAGTGATTGCTTTCGGTAATCTGCCCCACCACAGTCTTGTTGTGTTAATACCCATTTTACAGATAAAGGAACCCAGGGTTCCGAGGGTACTAGCTGGTGTGAGATCACAGGAAGCAGGTAATCACGTTTGAATAACTCTCAGTGGGAGCCTAATCTCATTTGATCTTACTCTTTTTAATGTATCTTTAAAAGTTAGTATCAAAAAATTGGAAAACGCAGCTAGTAAAGTTGGACATCTAAGATCTCGACTTTCTGGGTTCTAACCTTCTTCCAAGTCTTCTTGGAAAAATAATGAAACTCACTCTCCTCAAGTCTTCCCCTTGGCTGTTCTTTCTGGCTGCAAGTACTGGATTTGAACTCATGGCCTCATGCTAACTAGACAGACATTCTACCACTTGAACCACGCCTCCCGTCCTTTTTGGTGTCTTTTTTGCCAGACATAGGGCTTGAACTCAGGGCCTGGGCACTGTCCCTGAACTGCTTTTGCTCAAGGCTAGCACTCTACCACTTGAGCTACAGAGCCACTGCTAGCTTTTTCTGTTTATGTGGTACTGAGGAATTGAACCCAGGGCTTCATTCATGCTAGGCAAGCACTCTACCACTAAGCCACATTCCCAGTCCCTCCTTTCCCTCCTCTCTCTTTCTTTCTTTCTTTCTTTCTTTCTTTCTTTCTTTCTTTCTTTCTTTCTTTCTTTTCTTTCTTTCTTTCTTTCTTTCTTCCTTCCTTCCTTCCTTCCTTCCTTTCTTTCCTTCTTTCCTTTTTCTTTCTTTCCTTCCTTTCTTTTTCTTTCTTTCTCTTTCCTTCCTTCCTTTCTCCCCTTCCTTCCTTCCTCTTTCCTTTGTTTTTTTCTCTCTCTTCCCTTCCTTCCTTCCTTCCTTCCTTCCTTTCTCCTTCCTTTCTTTCTTTCTAAATAGTATTTTACTATTTTATCCAGGTGAGCCTCAGACTGCAATCCTCCTCCTTAGGCCTCCTGAGTAGCTGGGATCACAGGCATGCACCACCATGCACAACCCTTCTACCTCTGTTCCTTGAGCAGGGTCAGAAATATACATCTCTATGGCAAATTGTCTTTTTCAAATCAAGGTTATAAGCTTATCACCCAGTAGTTTTCCATTTCCATGTTATTAAATATTCTGTTAGAACATTATATATATTTTACTTATTTATTTATTTACTTTTGGTCCAGTTGTGGGTCCTGAACTCTGGGCCTGGGAGCTGTCCCTCAGCTCTTCAGCTCAAGGCTAGCGCTCTACCACTTGAGCCACAACACCACTTCTGGCTTTTTTCTGTTTGCTTATGTGGTGCTGAGGAATCGAACCCAGGGCCCATGCATGCAAGGCAAGCGCTCTACCACTGAGCCACCTTCTCAGCCCCCAGAACATTATATTTTAAGGACTGCTTAAATGAATTGTAATTTGCTTAATGAATCTCTCTTGTTGACTATCTACACTGTAATAAATATTTTGGCATACATAATTTTCCTCAAAAGAAATCCAAGCAGCTAAATATTTGGGCACATCTCTATTTTATTGGAATAGATTACCACAAATGGAGTTGTTGAGTGGGTTAGAGGGAATATGAGTGTGTGTGTGTGTGTTCCTCCTGGGACTTGAATTCAGCAGGGCCTGGGTGCTATCCCTGAGCTTTTGTGTTCAAGGCTAGTGCTCTACCACTTGAGCCACAGCTCCACTTCTGGCTTTTTGGTGGTTCAATGGAGATAAGAGTTTCATGGAACCGGGTGCCAGTGGCTCACACCTATAATTCTAGCTACTCAGGAGGCTGAGATCTGTGAATCACGGTTCAAAGCCAGCCCAGGCAGGAAAGTCCGTGAGACTCTTATCTCCAATAAACCACCATAAAACCAGAAGTGGCGCTGTGGCTCAAGCGGTAGAGCATTTGCCTTGAGCTGAAGAGCACAGGGAAAGTGCCCAGGCCCAGAGTTCAAGCCCCACGATTGACCAAAAAAAAAGAGTTTCATGGAAGCTAGGTGCTGTGGCTCACTCCTGCAATTCTAGCTATTCAGGAGGCTAAGCTATGAGGATCATGGTTAAAAGCCAGCCTGGGCAAGAAAGTCTGTGACTTTTATGTCCAAAGAAGCACTGGAAAACTGGAAGTGGTGCTGTGGCTCAAAGGGGTAGAACACTAGCCTTGAACAAAAGAGCTCAAGGACAGCACCCAGGCCCCGAATTCAAAAGAGCTCAGGGACAGCACCCAGGCCCCGAATTCAAAAGAGCTCAGGGACAGCACCCAGGCCCCGAATTCAAGTCTCATGACCTACAAAAAAATAAATGAATAAAAAAGTGTCATGGACCTTCCTGCCCAGGCTGTGAACTGCCTCAGATCTCAGTCTCCTGAATAGCTAGGTATGAACTATTAAAACAGGTATGAACTATTAAAATCAAACAGCTCCTGGCTGAGCTGTTTGATTTTAACATCAGGGGCTGTGATTATCCAATCCTGTTTTACCCTGGGGGAAACCGAGGCTGGTGGATGTAATTTCACCTGCTGCTTGTCCCCACAGGCTTGGTGCAAACCCAGCTGTGTGGCATTGCTCTCACTAGTAGCCCTCTGCTGCCTCCCTGTGTCCAGAAGTGCACATTGCAAGACCTCAACAGGCTTCACAACAGCATTAAACACTGATTTTCTTCTTCCTGTAATAGAGTTTGAACCCTGGACTTTGCATTTGAATTAGCTGGTGCTCTACCACTTGAACCACACGTCCAGCCTGGCTGTTTTTGGAGATGGAGCCTCAAGGATATTTCTGTCTGGGTAGCCTTGAACTGCAATCTTCTGGATCTCAGCCTCCTGTGTAGCTAGGATTGCAGGCGTGAGCCCATAGTACTTGGCTTTAAAGTTGATTTTTTTTTTCTAATGATGGGGATAGGAAGGTGGCTCAGCAGTAGAGTGCTTGCCTTGCATGCATGAGGCTCTGGGTTTGATTCCTTAGCACCACATAAGCAGAAAAAAGCCGGAAGTAGGGCTGTGGTTCAAGTGGTAGAGTGCTAGCCTTGAGCTAAAGAGCTGAGGGACAGCGCCCAGGCCCTGAGTTCAGGCCCCACAACCAACAACAACAACAACAAAATGATTCCAGGTACTGGTGGCTCACACCTGTAATCCTAGCTACTCAGGAGGCTGAGATCTGAGGATCATGGTTCAAAGCCAGCCTGGGCAGGAAAGTCTGTGAGACTCTGATCTCCAATAAGCTACCAGAAAACTGGAAGTGGTGCTGTGGCTCAAGTGGTAGAGCACTAGCCTTGAGCTGAAGAGCTGAGGGACAGTGCCCAAGCCCAGAGCTCAAGCCCACAAATGACAAAAAATGGTGATTTTATATCCATGTTAATTTTGAGGGGGATAGGAAAACCAACTCACAAAATCTTTTGTATCCTATGATAAAACTTTCATCTTGCCAAGTGCCACGCCTGTCATGCTAACTACTCAAGAGACTGAGATCTGAGGGTCATGGTTGGAAGTCAGCTTGGGCAGGACAAGTCTGTGAGACTCTTATCTCCAATGACCCATCAGAAAACCAGAAGTGGCCCTATGGCTCCAAGTGCTAAAGCACTAGCCTTGAACTAGCCTTGAGCACAAAAGCTCAGGGACAGCACCCAGGCCCTGAGTTCAAGCCCCAGGACCCAGCCCAGAGGCTTCAGGGTGTCAGGCGCTGTCAACTCCAACTTCTAGCCAGGTCAGGAGGACAGGTGGGGCAAATCAGCCCACATGCCAGCCTCCCAGTGGCTAGGGGAGGAGCTTGCTAGGGCTGGGCAACACCTGACTCACCCACACCATTGGTGCTTGCTCTACTGGACATGATCTCCCATGGTGCCCTGGGCTTGTCATTGCACTTGCCAGTCTCATTTCTTCCCTCAGCCAGCCTGTGGTTCCTGAGCAGATACTGTGTACCAGTGCCTGGATCTGTATGGGAAACAGAATCTGCAAGATCCTGTGGCCTGTGGAACTCACATTCTTTTTTCCTCACTTTTCCTTTTTTTTTTTTTAATGTCAGTCCAGGGCTACACACATTTTTTGTTGGTCGTGGGGCTTGAACTCTGGGCCTGGGTGCTGTTCCTGAGCTCTTCAGCTCAAAGCTAGTGCTTGCTCTACTACTTGAGCCACAGCGCCACCTCTGGTTTTCTAGTTTTTAACTGGAAATAAGAGTCTCATGGATGTTCCTACCCACGCTAGCTTTGAACTGCGATCCTCAGATCTCAGGCTCCTGAATAGCTAGGATTACAGGCATGAGACACCAGTGCCCGGCTCTCACTCAGCCTTTTTCCCGGAAGGATGGTGCCCAACCACTTGAACCGTGCCCTCATTTCCAACTTTTTGCTGGTTGATTGAAGTCTCACAGACTTTCCTGCTCACACTGGCTTTACACTGTGATCCTCATATCTCAGCCTCCTGAATAGCTAGGATTACAGGCATGAACTATCAGCACCTGACCCCTTATGCTTTAGGTACTTTTCTGATAGGGTCTCTGATCTAGTAGACTGATTCCTCCTACTTCTGCCTCCCTGAAATGACAGATATACCACGGTGCTGGCTTATTTTTGACATAGGGTCTCTCCCACTTACTTTTGTTCGGGTTGGCCTTGAACTGCCAAACCTCCTATCTCTACCTCTCCAGCTGTGAAGTTTCTATTCTGGAGATAATGGATAAATAAATTAGACAGGGGCTGACTATGTAGCTCAGGACAGATCAGTTGGGAGATCTCAACTCGAGATCTTCCTGTTG